AAGTCGCTAGTTGCTGATTTCATTGGACGGTATTCACAGTCATTTCATTTCTCGATAATGTAGCCATCGACTAAAAAATGTTTTGCGAAGAGCTCTTCTGGAAACAGTCATAATTTTTTTGTGACGTTTCTAAATGGTAGATATGTCATGGCTGAGCATCAGGACCAAAAAGACGGTGGTTTTCAGTATGGTGACCTTGGTTGCCGTCCGGATAGATGGGCCTTTCAAAAGACGCCCACTCTTTGTTGATGTCAGACCTAAGCTCCGCTTCAATACCATGTCGCAGCTCTTACTTCTTGCCAGTACTGAGCCTATGCATTCGAAATTGTTGACCTTCTCGGTGGTGGTTCAATTCCAGTCAATCTTTAGGCCGTTAGTTGCGTCAGGTGCTTACATCATCCTCAGTTTGGTGGAGTTGACTTCTTGGCCTGCCGTCGAAGACATCTTACACTCATGCTCAGTTAGCACCAGTAGGGTACTTGAAATCTGTCATGAGTACTGCTGGGTACTTTTGGTTGAGTCGTTGCCTGAGAGTAAAGCCCTCACTGCTGTCGGCAACGATGCTCCTCCGCACCGCACAATCCACCACCACGTTGAATAACGGAGATGAGAGCTCCTCTCCTTGGAGTACTCCACCGTTGATGTTAAACCTATCTGGCACCGACTCTTCTGCTCTGATAGTACCTTCGTACAGTCCTTCTTGCAGACCGATGATCTTCCATGGTACTCAGCAGTGACGTAGTTTGCGCCAGAAGGACTGGCGGGGTTCCGTGTCGAAAACAGTTGAAAATCGAGAAATGTAATATGCCAGGGCAGATGGAAGCTTTTCCCCTGCTCATGGTGCTCTGCAATACGGCAATGTTATCCATACACGATAGCTCAGTTCAAAACCCTGTTTAGTTTCCTCATAGCGAGTCGTCGACCGCGATCTTCAGTCTTCGGAGGAGGATTCGCGAGAGTACTTTTTCCTGCACACGCAGAAACGCGATCCCGCTGTAGTTAGTACAGTCTTGGCGATTCTCACATTTTAATATAGGATTGATCACGCTCTGATTCTGGTCCTACGGTATTTCTGACTTGTGTCATATGCTTTCGAAAACCAGATGTACCCAGTTCAGCTGGATTTCGTCTTGGCATTTCGGGCTTTTCATACTAATCTTTTCGGGTCCACAGGATTTGGCAGAAACGTGTTTGGTATTTCGGATACCATCTTTCGACAGACCGCAGCAGTCTGTCTCCAATCCCTCTCTGTCTGTTATGTACATTTCAGAGTCATCCGCTGGAACGGCCTGTTTAGGAACTCCTCGAAGAGTTCTGCCCATCTCTTCCGTCGACTGGACTTGATGCAAACCATATAAGTCAGGGGCTCATGTTTGTAGCCATCGGTTTGATGATGCTGATTTGTTTGTACAGCTTCTTCCAGTCCTTCTGCGCTTCGGGTTCTATCCACTTGTCACGGTGGTAACTCCTGTTCACTTCTGTGAGGAGATGCCGATGCTCTCGGTTCTTCATCTCTTCAGTATTATGTAAGAATGAAGGTTTCTGCCGAGGTCCAAGGGTGCTTGGCTTTCTGTTGGTTGCAACTGTCATTACTACGGCGAAGACGATACACGGTTTCAGCTGTTGGTACTGCAGGTTAGAATCATAGCGGGTGATGTCTTTTACAGCAGTGAATGTGCTGCTGATCCGGGACGCTGCTCGCATTGGACCTTCAGGGGGGAGGGGGTGGGGGGCATCGTCCCGCCTATGACGAGGCCATGAAACAAAGGTCTAATAATATGCACATGAGCAAGGTGTTCGCTATTTGTTTGTTGGACACTGGAGAACAAAATAAAGCGCATGTAATAGAGGCAGGGAACAGTGTCACAGAAACGTTTGTAAAACCATCTGATTTTGGCTAGTGATACCCCGTTATAAGATTCTTTCATGGTTCATGACCGGCATTCACAGCAGGCCGAAGGGATACAGACACTTTGCCTAAGCACTGAATCTGAAATTTTCAAACATAAGCGTAAATGCCCTTCTCTACATTAATAAAATGACTTTTAGGGCGGCATTTTTTCAAGTGAATCAGTAGAAATTATTACAGTACAATAGCAATTAAAGTACAACGATTAAATGCCTGGACTAATCCTTTAGGACGGGATCTTCGGAAGTCATTGCGCTTTAAAAACGGAGCACTGTTTTTGGCTTTAACGGTTCCACGACCTCTAGTAAAAAATCTATCCAGACATGGAACTGTTGTTACCATTTATCAATATCTGCAATAATCCATTAATATCACTAATTAATGAATCATTTTTGTTCGATTTTTAATCTTCCTTGTTGTCTAAAACAATTTCCATGTGCCTTCTGTACCGGAAGCTGAAACATAAAATATAAAATGGGTTAAATAGTCTAAAAGTCAATGTATCACGGAAGAGGTAGATAATTTACATTTTGCTATTCTATTCTGAAATTGAACTACCTAAAGTTAAGGAAGAGGAAGGAAATGAAAGCTTTAAATGTCGCTCTTCGTTATACTTTAATGACGTTGCCATTTCTGGACCCATTCGTTTTATGAAGTCAGTGACAGGGCACTGATCTCTACTTCTATGTCCTCAGTCAAACCTCACTTCCCACACGGTGGTACATTCATTAGTCTTGGAAGGAAGAAAGACAAATGACCAGACCGGAGCTCTAACCCAGAACGTCTCGGTTTTGAGCCTGACGCTCAGCCGATTAAACAACCCCAGGAGTAGTAAGGGATAATATGGTTTATTAAATACCACTCTCCCTAGAAGTATACTCAGACATTCAGAATTCACAGATTAGAGAAAATCACATGTGCTTGTATACATAGGATTTCCTATAACTTATCCGGATTGATTTCTAGGGTGATACACTTTTAGGGGACTGCTGCTCCATTATGTTTTAGCACCCGCGATGCATGAGTGCAAAACAACATCGCTTTATTCAGTCGAACAGAAACGTGTTCGACTACTAATGAATTGTAAGCACTACCGTAAGTACTATAACACTACGATACTCTGGACTGGTCAAGCAGTTCCTTAGGAATCTAGCTGCAAGTGGACGGTGCTACTGAGCCGAAAAAATCTGAACAGGTGACAGGAGATTGCACGCAAGTGCATTTTTAGTCAGAAAAATAATACCCATACAAATATGTGACTTACTTTAATCCAGGTTTGCCGACTGTGAGGAAGGATAAGGAAAAATTTTGACAACTGCCACATCATTATGAAGGTGCTAAACAGTGTTTCTGGAACTCTTCTTCTCCTGATGCCATTGCATTGAAAATGACACCGGAGGTTGTGCAAGCACTCTACATGAATCGAATAAATGCGTGTTTTGTCGTCAGTCCTCTCGTAGTCATGTCAGTATCAACGAGGTCTTCCAATCTTGCTAGAAGTCTTCTTGTCGACCGCCAATCATGAGGCTTAGAGTCCAATAACCGCTTTGCGAGGTGGCAGGCATCCATTCGTTGGCAATGGTACCCCTATCTTAATAGCCTTGTTATCAGCCAGTCTGCCATTTTAGTCGGATTTTTAAATCTCTCTGTTACCACAGTACGTGATGCCAAATCGTACCATTTCACTCCCAATATTAATCATAAAATTTCCATTTTTATTGCTGTCAGTTCTCTGTTATTCGCTTTTTCAAGGGTTACCGTCTCCAAGCTATGGAGCCAAATGTTCAGAATGCAACCCTGTATATCCGCAGCTTCGTGGTGTCGTGAGCAAGTTCTGGAATCAAAGCGAATAAATTAAGATGCTTTGTCTACAAGAGGACGTAGAATTTCCAAGAAACTTTTTTTTATCCCTCGTTCGTTATTCGTCTGCTGCGTCAGCGCTGTTGTTCGTCGGCTTCGCGCGGTGAGGGTAACGTAAAATAAAAGAGGCTGTCGAAACGCAGTCATCGATAAAGCCCTTGTCATGGAGAGACGCACCGCATTTTATGGCGAGGCAAAGCGGAGTGTATGATCCGTAGCCGCTTCAGTCGGCCTGAGGAACTCTGAGTCAGGCGACTTTCGACGAACTATTTAATCGTGAGTTGATGGACCTCAACTGATAGATCTTTACGGAGAAGGACACCATATATGCAAGTCCAGGCCGAAATATCAAGGCGCTTGGCCCCTATAATCGCAAATAATATATGGTAGAACATTTTCGAAACGCCGTCTCTGATCTCTGTAAACTTTAAAAAAAATTTAGTTCTATTTTACACTTTGTACTAAGTTTTGGTCACTTGTCACGTGAGTCAAGGCGAATTATAGCTGTAACAGAAATTCGCATCAGAGAGCATGGCTTCACCTTTCCTCTATTCCAATATGACCGCACAAGAGCACCATGCTGCCCATATGTTCGTAAGTCAGCGATTTGTCACTCCTTTCCCTGCTGGTTGCATTAGAGCAATTTTGGACAAGTTACTGTTTATGAAAATTGGAGGATAAGAAAATTTTTTCATTTGTGGAGGAGCTCATGCAACATCTCCGGAATTCGAGGTCGAACTCTTATGCACTTCAGGACTGCCCATCTCCGAAACCAGTTATCCACAATGCTCTCATCTTTCACCGCTCACACTCAGAAAAGCCATTGTTCTGTTGAACGAGAGAGAGGGACATCGTGTAGGGAATCCTTTGATAAGTAGTATTAGGAACTTAGAAACTCTGCGCACAGCTGTACTTCACATTAGTGTCAGATTTTGAAACATGTTCGTACTCCGGAAT